GAGGGAAGGGGGGGAAGGAGGAAGGAAGGAAGGAAGGAAGGAAGGAAGGAAGGAAACTTCTTCTCTGACCTTCAGGCAAATAAATCATTCTGTCATTGAGATCCACTATCTACGTTTGTGTTATAGAGACAAGTTTTCCAGAGGTTAGGAAAATAAAATATTTTCCTCCATATTTAAATTATTTTCTTCTCTTTCTACTTGAGTAAGGACAGTCAGGAGAAACTTGTTAGTGATAACATTTTCAAATCAAACTCACATTGCATTTTTGGAAGTATAGTGTTTGCTTTAGTCTGCACAAATAAACCATTCTTGTGATGATTCATTTGAACTCAAGTTTGGCTTTTATTTGTATTTTGGCTAGTGAACAACTTATTTTCTGCCAGAGCACTATATAGACTCTGCACATCAAAAAAAAAAAAACAAAACCAAAACCAAACAACTTAAGAATATAACAATAAAAACAAATAAACAAACAAACAAAACACACCAAAAAAAACCCCACCCAAAGCCAAAATCAACCAACCAACCAACCAAAAACCCAAACCAAAACAACAACAACAACAAAAACCCCAGGTCATTTGCAGAGACTTCTTCTACTGTGTAATGACACTTTTCTGTTTTAAAGATAATTTATAATAATGACCTGGTAGTCTTTCTTGAATGAGGTTCATTAGGGTCTAGAAGAATTCAATGGAATATTTGTAATTTTCTTAATGTTGTATGTTTTGAATCAAAAAATCAGCTGTTAATGTGACAGAAATATTAGCAAGTTACAGCTCATATATTCAGACTTATTATTACTGTACCATATAAGAATACTTTTTCTCACAAATCCATAATTTTTCTTCTCTCCGCAGATATGTCAGGAAATTCACAAGATTAAAAAATATCCAAATCTATACTGATCCAGAAAAATTTATCCTAGCTTTCTGTGAAATTGAAAGTTATTTTATTGGCTTTAATTTCTATCTCTCTCCAACCATTTAGTGGTCTATTATTTAGCATATTGCTTGTATTCTACCACTCTTAAATGTGTTGGGGTAGTTCACGAACATATTTTTGTACGTATTTATTCCTTTGTGGGTTTTCGTCTTATGCAGATGTCAGTTCTGCAGATATAACACACCATGCACTTGCAATTTTGATTTATTTGATTACTTTTGCTAGCCTCCAGCTATTCACATTCCAAGTACCTATTAGCTTTCCTAGACTGAGGATATTAAGAAACAAATACATTTGTATATGATTAGTCTTTCAAAACATAGAATCCATCATAAAACAATATAAAAGGGAGGTTTGTTGTTTTTTTTTTTGTGATGGAGGAGAGCCTGATTTTGTTCAAAGTTTTTGGAATGAAAATTATTTTCAAT